AAACTAACAGATGTCATGTCACCTAAAGAATCACATAAAACAATATTTTTTTGCTGACTTGGAAATTCAAACGGACAAAAAGACCTGATGTGTAAATTGTAGTGGAACAATCATAGATCCACAAAAGAAATCACTGAATGCAGAGATGCAAATACAACCAAAAGTAATCTACAAGATCGATGTTGCCATTGCCGTTCTCCTAACCGAAAATGATGTAGACACCACTGATAAAACTCGACGAAAGTTTATAAATAAAATAGGAAAAATCACACCAGATTTCTTCTCTCTATTCTTTATCAATTTGTCGGCCAAAGCTCCATTGTTCTGACCCGACCCGTCAATTCTCCATACGTATATATCTGCATTTCACACCGATCTATCAAATGGTAGACAATGTGAACGGAGAAAGTCAGGGGATCTATCAGCATTGTTCAAAAAAGTTGTTTTTTTAATACCTTTTATGATTTATATCTTCATGCCTGCTTATTTAATTGTTGATTGAATTGATTTTGCTATAGAAGAAACTGAAAAGTGATTAAAGTTTGTATTTTTTTTAATAAAGATTTGGTATCAAAATGTTGTGTTGATTTCGCTGTAATTTTGTCATTTTGGGACTTTTATTGAGCCAAGGGTGTATTACACCCACCCCACTTGTGGATTGTTGCTGCCATGTTGAGAGTTTTGTCCATTTGAATTTCCAAGTCAGCAAAAAAATATTATTTTATGTGATTCTTTAAGTGACATGACATCTGTTAGTTTTGAAGGGTAAATGTGAGCCAATACATTAACGGTAAGGGTATTTTTGACCCCAAAATCAAACGGAGGGTATATATGATCCATTTCTAATAGTTCAGGGGTATTTTTGATCCCAAAATCAAACGGAGGGTATATATGATCCATTTCTAATAGTTCAGGAGTATTTTTGATCCTTTTCTAACCATGTGAAAAAAATAATAACCTATTATTACCTAAAGAACATTTAAAAGAGCTTTAGCTATAATAATCTATTTCTTAAGAGTCAACCACACACAATAAATAAAAATAAACATTAATCACACGAGATATCTTAATCACACTAAGGATTAAACAACAACATTATAAAATATTAAAAGCCATTTTGGCTTACACGAGAAATCTGCAATTCATGCTTAGGTAGTCGAGACGAGTAGATGATATGCGAATACCGAGCATATAGGTGGGTAAATGATAGGTAGACTCCGCAAGCAAAGCGTTGAGTCTTAAAGTGAAACTCTTTGACTCTTGTGGAGCTGTGAACGGGGAAGTTACATGCCTCGAATCTACACCCGTTTCTCAAATAAAGTCAAGCGTAATAGAGAGGAGATTCAAAAATCCTTTGTAACCAATATTCAAATATAAAAGTGATGTTCTTGTGAGTGTAAGAGCTTGTTGAGTGATTTTTCTTATCAACCAAAATTCTTCTCCCCCTATGACTAAAAACAGAGGAAATATTTATAGAAGAGATGTTAATTTGTAAAGAAATAGAGAAAGAACTCGATAGTTATCCATGGCGAAACCCTAGTTCTCTAAGTCGGTGAAAGTGGTAAAGATAGAGAACCCAGCATGAAAGTGTGCAGAACGTGGAGCATTCAGAAATTAACTGAGATGTTGGACAGCAAAAGAAATGTCTGGTTGCGTGTGTTGAAGAAAATTCAGTTTCCCAACAAGTCGCCTATAAGTGGAAGGATCAGATAATAAGTAGCCAGAGTCAGGAGATAACCTGTGGTTGAGTTCAAGTGGAGCAACAACAGAAGACACAGATGAACAATGGAACTCAGCTAGAAGCTCCTTGGTGTATTTGTGTTAGTGGAGAACAACACCCTGAGAAACTGTGGACACCTCAAAACCCAAAAAATAATGTACGTCTCCGAGATCTTTGATCCTGAACTGGGAGTCTAGAAAAGACTTGAGAGAGTTTAATTCAGGCACATCATTCCCAACAAGTAAGATATCATCAACATAAACCACAATGATAACAATGGAGTTGCCAGAACACTTAGTGAACAAAGAATAGTCATTGAGACTAGATGAAAAACCTTTGGATATCAAAGCACTAGATAGTTTGGCAAACCACTGTCGGGATGCCTGCTTGAGACCATATAAAGACTTTTTGAGTAGACAAACAAGAGGGGAGTTGGAAGGAGATGAAGAAGAAACATCAAGGCAATGGGGAATTTTCATGTAGACTTCTTCATCAAGATCCACGTGTAAAAAAGCATTATTGATGTCAAGTTGGTAAACAGTCCAAGAAAACTTGACAGCAAGGGCAAGAAGGCATTTGTTAGTGGTAAACTTCACCACAAGAGAAAAAGTCTCAGTATAGTCCAACCCAGCCTTCTGAGTATCCCCTCAAACAACAAACCTGGCCTTATAACGTTCAATGCTGTCATCAGACTTCTTTTTTATCTTATAAACCCACTTACAAGAGATTACTTTCATATGAGGAGGCAATGGTACGATATCCCAGGTCCGATTCGCCTCCAGGGCCTGGAATTCCTGTAGCATGGTAGCGAAGAAGAAGGGGAAACAGTAGGAGGAGGAGAAGAAAACACGGGAGAATGATCAGAATAGTGAGAAGAAGGGGTCGTGGAAGGAGGGAAAGATAGGGAAGGAGAAGTGGTGGAAGGAAAAATGTGTTCCACAAATGAAACATCCCTAGAGTAGAAAATGGATTTGGACTGGAGATTGAGAAGTTTGTATGCTTTCTTACCAAAAGCATAGCCTAAAAAATCAGAGGGGATGACCCTAGGTTTGAGTTTGTCTCGGAGAGGGAGAGGAACAGTAGTATGTGATAAACAGCCAAAAAATTGCAAATGAGCATAAGAGGAGCTCGACCATACAAAACTTCATAGGGTGATTTATGAGAGAGAATTTTGGAAGGAAACCTATTAATTAAGTAGGTAGCAGTAAGCACACATTCCTTCTAATACTTGGTAGGAAGCTTGGATTGGAAAAGAAGGGTCCGAGAAGTTTCTAAAAGGTGTTTGTGTTTATGTTCAACCACTCCATTTTGTTGAGGAGTGTGAGGGCAAGAAGTTTGGTGCAGAATGCCAAGAGAAGAAAGGTACTGAGCATGAGTAGAGGCGGAACCCAACTCGAAAGCATTATCTGTTCGAATAGTTTGAACAGAAGTGCGAAATTGAGTAGAAACCATGGCAATGAAAGCTTTGATTATAGTAAAGGCATTGCCTTTACAAGATAGGAGATGAGTCCATGTCATGCGACTCTTATCATCCACAAAAGTGAGAAAATACCGAAAACCATTATATGTAGAAGTGTGATAAGGGCCCCAAAGATCAATATGAACAAGCTGGAAAATGGAAGTGGACTGGGTGGATCTCTCAGGGAAAGGCAACAGTTGTTGGCGTGCCATAGGACAAATAGGGCAAGTGAAAGATTGTTTAGGGGAGAATTTGCATGAAATATGAGGAATAGAAATCATTTTTACAAAAGGTAAATGACCCATCCGTTGATGCCAAAAAATATCAGTTTTATTCATGTGAGACAAAGTATTACATTCGAGAGAAAAAATAGGAAAAACATTACAAGGAACAATGAAAGTAGAAGAAGAATCAGTAGAAATAGATGCAGCTAAAGTAAGAGAACCACCACGGGATGAATCAGAGTCATTAGGAAGAACTGCAGCAACGGAGGGGATCCGCAGGATGTAGAGGCCATGGTCAACCTTACCAATCACCAGTGGGCTCTTCAGAGAAGGCCCCTTCATATAACAAGTTGAATTAGTAAAGAGAACATAAGTATTAAGCTGGGTAAGAAGTTGATGAATAGAAATTAAGTTGTAATGGAAAGAAGGCACTAATAGCACGTTGTGTAAGATAATATCAGAAAAAAGAAGCAGAGAACCAAAGGAAGTCACTCTCACTTTGTAACCATTAGGCAGGGTGACAAGAGACGGGGAGAGTAAAGGTTGAATGTTATGTAAGAGATGTTTGTGGGGGGTCATGTGATTTGTGGCTCCAGAATCTAAGATCTAAGAGCTAAAATCCTCAAGAGAAGCATGACAAGCAGTGTGACCAGAAGATTTACTAACAGGAACTGAGTGCCAACCTGCAAAATTTGCATAAGCCTGTGAGGATGGTCCTGGATTTGTCTTAGAGATCTGAACATTATGGAAGAGCTTCATGATAAGATCATATTGTTCCTTAGAAAAACCATGTGGAGGTGGATCAACCGGAGAAAAATCAAGTGAGGAAGTAGGATCGGCAGGAGTCTCCACTTGAGTGCATGTAGCGATCCGTTTACCTTTGCTGAACTTGAACTCAGGTAGGAAACCATGAAGTTTAAAACACTTGTCAATAGTATGACCGAACTTCTTGCAATATTTGCAGACAAAATCATTCCGTTTAAAATCAAAATTGACCCTCTGATTGAAAGATCTGTTAGTAGATTGAGAAGAAGGGTGGATTCTGGAATTAGAACTGGAGCATGCAGAACACGACACTGAATCAGGGGAGAAAACAGGGCAATCCGAATAGACTTCCTTCTGTTTTTCATCCCTAATCAGAATAGAGTATGCCTTTTAAACAGAAGGGACAGGAACCATCATGAGGATGCTACTGCGAATAGTGGAATAAGATTCATTCAAACCAGAGAGAAACTGTATCAATTTATGTGTCTCATTAGACTCATGCATAGCTCCACAAGTGCATGGATTGCCAATAGACAAAGAATGTAGCTCATCCCAGTATCCTTTGAGCTTAGTGTAATAATGAACAATGTCAAAAGAACCTTGAGCAGTTGATGAGATGGCTCTTTGAATTTTGTAATATTGAGAATGTTAGCAACACCATATCTGTCTACCAAATTATTCCAAGCTTCCTTTGCAGTCTTATAGTAGAGAACAGTCTTAGCAATGTCTTTGGAAAGGGCATTCAGTATCCAAGCCTTCACCATATTGTTACACCTTTCTCAGTGTCGAAAAAGTTGTGAATTAGAGTTAGGTTCAGGAAAAGTACCATCGATTATCTGAATTTTATTCTTTGCAGAAAGGGAAATAAGCATCCCTTCTTTGCAGGAAAACATAAACAATGAGAACTGACTAAGCAGGAGTCAATGACATACTCTGCTTTGTACGCCATTTCAGTAACACTTGTCACAAGACAATAAACTTCATCATGCTCATTATGTTTGCTGCAAAATGAACTCTCAGTGACAATAAGCCCTCTTTGACTGATCTAATCTGATGCTTCAATTCAATGATCGAATTGATCTTAGAAGATAAAAGCTCCTCCAGTTTTTCCAAAAAAATTTCAATAAATCCTAATCCATTTGTCTTGGGGAAGGTATAACTTGACAAATCGGGAACTTCAAAACAAACCATTTTGATCTCTTCCTCGACATACTTGAGCAATTGCTTGACATCGGAGAGACATAGCATGTTAAACCAAGCAGGTACATAGCCCTTGAAAGAGAAGTTAAAGACGTACCTTGTACCATTAGCAACATCCTGAACACGTTTGACAAGGTGTTGGAGTTCTTGATGCATGTTGCGGTACTGTACAATATCTGCAAGAAAAGATCCCCAGTACACTAGTCTCTCTTTGATTACTGGGATTCTGTTCTTCAAACAAGAGACTGAAACAACATCACAGTCAAGCATTCTGTCCAGGTGGTCTAATAAAAAGTTGATAAGGCCTTCAACATCTATTAATGCCGTATTGCAAGGTGAAGTATCAAGAATTTCAAAGCATATTTCTCTGACCACTACCTTGACAGACTCGATCTCCTCTAGGAAATCAGATATTTTCCCGGAGCTGCTTCCATCCATGAAACTTCCATAGCTACAACGGCTAATTAATGCTGCCTTGCGGGCAGCAACTTCAGCATGCTTTATGAGATCATCCAATTTCTCAAGCTCTTTTTGTTGCCTAAGAAGATCTATAAGAAAGGCTCTAAAGAACATAAGCTCTTCGTGAGTATTTTCTATCAGATCCTGAACTTGACTTTCCAAAGTGTATTTGTGCTTTAGTAGATCCATGAAGATTCCCTCGGACTTGATTAGGCTGAAAGCAATAGTCAAATGCTGAAGCACAAGATTGAGCTTCATACTTTTGCTGCTATCAAAATCATCCTCGTAAGATAAACGGATAGCAGCTTCGGCCTCAAGTACTATGGTTCCAATTTCTGTCGAGAGATCATTTTGGTTCTTGTATTCGATGTACTCAGTAGTGGGATCATGAAGAAATGTTACCAGGACCAACAACCCGTTGTGTAGCCTTTTGACCATATCTGTATTAGTAAGTTTTAGATTGACTTCATCGTTGAGTAGTAGCTTTTCGAGAATATATCCCTGCAACCCCATGAAATACTCATTAAAATCCAGGTTATTTGGGAGGGATGATGTTGCTGGGAATCTCAGAATGGTTAAATATAAATCAATGTCCTCAAAGTTAACAGGAAGAAAGTTCAGCAGATTTATTGTAGGATGCTCTGGTGTTGATGATGAAAAGACGGGACATATCTGTCTAATTGCTGTCCTATAAAATTTATACTTTATATGCAAGTGATGCTGCACGAGATTAGTTTCCCATAACAATTGTCCAGAAAGAGAATCGACAAGTTCCCTTGTTACAGTAGTGGCAGATTGAATTAGGGTCAAAACATCAGTTAGCTGAGCTTGATCTTTGCACTGCTCCAATGTATCCATGAGAAAAGTTCTAAAGAAAGTCAGTAGATATGGAAGATCTATCATGGTTTTTGATAGTTTCTCAAAAAGAATTCTCTCTAATTTGAAATGATTAAACTTCACCCGCAAGGGAAGAAGCATACTGTCTATTTCAATATTTTTCTCCAAATCCACTTCATACAAGGAGTAGATTTCACTTGCTGCCTCAATGGCTAGAGATTCCATATAAGATAGTAAAAAAGAAAGTAATTCTTCATACTGAATCTTTTTGTCTTTCAAGTGAGAGAGAAATTGACAAAGCTTATGTTGTCCAAGAAGGAGCCATTGAAATCGACCAGAAAAGGCAACATGAGTTAAGATGGCTTTATGACGTCGTAGCGTTTCCAGATTGTTTCTGATAAAATGAGTAAACTTCCAAGTCACAAGCACATCATCGGATAGATACCGAAGACTATCACCTCTCATTGGAATTTTTGATCTGGATGAATATGATGCTTTCAAGACACTGATATAAAGGTGCCTAAACTCAGGCTTAATAATAGGGTTTATCCTTTCCAGCAATTCTGAAAACTTAAGAAAGCATTCCCGATGTTGAGATTTCTTAGCACTCGTATGAAATGTGATAGCTGTGCAGGCGGCAGTATAAGCTACGTCCTCAGCGATGTTGAAGAGATCCTTCATTTTCTCATGTTCAATGCACCACTTTGCAGTAACCATGAGAAAGCATCCTAGATTTTCCAAGTTTTCCAGCTTTTCCTGTGGAATTGGATCAACATTTACGATGTTTGCCAGTTGAAAAGCACCATCAAGGCACGCTACTACGTGCTTCACCATATCCACAGTGATTGGGATAGATGGTCTGAATGTCTTTGAAGCTTTGATTTGCTCAGCAACGTTTCCGAGTTCAATTATTTTTAACGCCTCTGAAATCATTCTTCTAGTATCACTCGTCAGGCCTTGATCCTTCATGTGAGAATGTATCTCAGAAAAGCCATGGTCAGCTTCTCTGAATAAGGGCCTAAGATTTTTAGATATCACATTCTCAAAGTTATCCTTCTCCAGAACACGTAGAAACAGAAGTAAAGGAACTAGTTGACTACTAGCATATTCCAATTGATCCTTGGTTGAATTGTCTAAATGTCCTGTCTCCACACAGCAACTGATGGTTCTTCTCACATCAATGCAAGATTCTCTGGCCATCGAATTGTTGATTCATAACAATTTACTGCACGTAATAATCGAATATCTTCAGAGATTGATACAAACATATTTCATCCATTTTACAGAAGTCTAGAAATACACTAAATAGCTCATCCCTTTTGTTAAAAACAATCACTCATACACTAAATAGCTCATCCCTTTTGTTAAAAACAATCACTCATACACTAAATAGCTCATCCCTTTTGTTAATAACAATCACTCATTCTTCTTCTCTAGCTTTATTACTACTAAAAACACGGTCAAAACCGAGGGACAGAGTTCACTCAATTTTGTGCAGGAAAATATTTTCCGATATAAAAGTAATACACCAATGGATAAAGTTGACTAACTCAATGAACAGTAACTCAACTCAACAGAACAGTAATCGGTTAACTATAACTGGTAGTTATGACAAAAATTGCTGGCAGGAGGAAAGGAAACCTGTACAAGAACCTCATAATCGACGGACATCCCTTGGTTTAACCGATATGGTCTATTAGTTTCGTTTCGGCCCTCTATTTTGGACCACGTTTTGTAGTATATAGTGTACTATGCTCTTCTCATAAACAAAATACAGGTGAACCATGACAGAGAAAGAAAAAAGCATCATCACTTGAGATTGGATGATTGCATCATAATAATGATAAGAACACTACACCAAAAATGATATTAACGGCAATAGCTTAATTGCCACTAAAAAAACATTTTAACACTCTTTGTTAATGTGCATATTTGTTGCCGCTAAAAGCTATTTTTATTGTAGTCGAAGCAGAAGAAGGAAAAAAAAGACAATGCAATACTACAAAAATCTTACTTTGATTTGGCAGGAAACTAAAGCCCAGTGCTGAGTTATCCAAATCTGATGAAGTTCACAAAGGTCTTTGCTAAGATCGATTTGAGATCAGGATAGAAGATGATAATTAGGGAAGAGGACATTCCTAAAACAACTTTTAGGGCCTGATAAGGAGTTTTTCGTCATATCTTTTGAGTTGACAAATGCCCCTAACGCCTTTATGGATTTTGATGAGAAAGAAAACACCATTTGAAGGAAAACTTGATCATATGTGATGTGCTCATTAGCTTGTGCATTGAACAATTCTACTTCTTTATTATGTGAATAAAAAAACAGTTGATCGACTAGCTTAGTATTTTCTTGATTATTCTTCTATAAATTATTTGATTCCCTTTTGTCATCTTTTGTCAATAGCTCATTGCAACCTTTAAAGGCCAGCATTTCAGCCAAAAAAAAAGTTGACTATTTTGTAGTTCAATTTTAAATTTATCTACCTTCATCATTGTGTCATAAAATAATAAATTATACAATCCCTGCTTGAAAAAGGAGGAGACCCTGTTGACTTGGATGAATTTAAGGGATTAACGGTCTGGATTGGTACCACCATCCCCCTCCCCTGCTCAGGAGTCACTTTTGTTAGGGAGGCTTTATATGTTCCGTCAGGTTGTATTAGCAGACTCATCACCGAATCACGATCATCACAAGTTTCACTATCACAATCATCAACAGTGTTACACAATCTGTGTTTAAAACAGTACTACTGATTACAACAAACTTTGCAGAAACACGAAGTTACCAAAGTTTAATGAACCAGTGAAGAACAGAAGAACATAAATTAATTCACAAAACTAAAATCTGTAAAAACGTATCAGAATCGGAAAAAACAGAATGGAAAGAAAATCAAGTCCACTGAATGCACAGTGTCCCCTTAAGGAAATTATTCCCCTCTAGTATCCGAGGTTTGATTTGGAATATGTCAACCCAGGATAGAATGATCTCAATGACCAGTGTATTGATCCCCAAAACGCTGGTGTCAGCGAGCCACTCAACGACAGTAAAGTATACGAAGAAAATTTGTGTGGAAGAAGAATAAGAAATCAGAAATTTTTGTAAGTAAAAAGTTAGAAGAATTACGGGTATTTATAGCGAAGAGGAACTAATTCCAAAAGTTGCAACCTTTCAGAATCCACATGACCATTCATGAAAGTTTGCAACCTTTCAAACGGTCATGCTGTGCTTGAAAGTTGCAACCTTTCAGAACTGTCATCTCCAACGGTGGGAAATTCAAATAAAACGGGAAAGTATTTTAAATAAAATGGGTCGTGCGGATCCGAGTCGGGTCGGAACGTTTTGGTTAATTAACTAAATAATTGAAATGTTTTGGCCATTTAATTTAATTTAATTAATTAATTAAATAATTAACTAAATAATTAAAACAAAACTTTGTCCAAAAAATAATCTCTCGATCGATCATTCTCCAAAGCTAAAGCCGAAGTCATTTCGAGCGAGCGGCGACAATGATGGCGCGAGGGGGGTCCCTCCTTCCAGCCCTTTTAACAACTAATAGAAGTGTTTCTCTATTTAAATACTTCTATTTTTCTTTCCACCACCAATGAGGAAGAAATGTCTTTTCTTAAAGCATAAGAGAATCTTTTCCAATTCCTCTTTTCATCTTCCCTCTATTTCCCATTAACTCTTACTATACCCAACAATCCCCCACATTAGTGGGGAATGGTCATAACATAAAGGAATGTACGGACGAGTGTGTACTTTACAAGCAAGGATCAATTGCATCTGGATAAGTAGGTTTCCCCTTGGACTTTTCGTAGTGAACATCTGTCAGATATACTCAGTTAATCGGTAGATGCGATATCTTTGAACCGTCGAGCTTTGGTGTATACCTAGACAACCATATGTCACACAATTAACCCTTTACCGTTTATGGTTCTTACGGTTGTGTTCGTTTCATCCATGAACATCTCCTGGTTTCATGAGTCAAAGAATAGGCTTTTGACAAAAAATTCTCTTTGAAGCGGCTTACACTTCACACTCACATAGGTGATTCTAACCGTGTCATCTCGTAGATACACTATTTGGTCAAATCTGCCAAACTTTGCAAATCATTAAAAACTTTAAGCTTTATTGACTTCATTAACAAGCCTTAATGTTTTAACCTCGTTCCTGAACATTGTCTTCATCATGAGAATGGATTGAGTCGATTGACAATATGTCGAACCGTCAGTCACAACTTTGTTTTTCTCCTTGAATCTAGCTCTTGAGATCTCCAGTCTGCTAGATAGAGTTACCGTCATGATGACTTGTCCTAAGCCGTAAACCCATTCCCTTAGATGATCTTTCAACTGCCTCTCTTACTAGGCCTTTCGTTAGTGGATCTGACACATTATCGCTTGACTTCACATAGTCAATTGTGATGATTCCACTAGAGAGCAGTTGTCTTACGATGTTATGTCTCCGTTGTATATGACGAGACTTCCCATTGTACATGACCCTCCTTGCCCTACCTATTGCTGCTTGACTATCACAATGTATGAAAATAGGTCCCACGGGTTTGGGCTAGAATGGAATATCCTCTAAGAAATTCCGAAGCCATTTAACTTCTTCATCGGCCTTATCTAAAGTAATAACTTCAGATTCCATTGTAGAGCAAGTGATAAATGTCTGTTTGGACGATTTTCAACAGACTGCTCATCCACCAAGTGTAAACACATAACCAATTGTGGATTTTACTTCATTTGACCCGGTGATCCAATTTGTATCACTATATCCTTCAATCACGGCAGGATATTTATTATAATGCAAAACATAGTGTTGTGTATGTTTCAGATACCCCAACACACGTTTCATTGCCATCCAGTGAGTTTGATTAGGATTACTAGTGAACCGACTCAGTTTGCTAATAACACATGTTATATTTGGTCGCGTACAATTCATAATATACATCAAACTTCCCAACACTTTGGCATATTCCAATTGAGATTCGTTTTCACCTTCATTCTTTTGAAATATAATCTTAAATCAATTGGAGTTTTGACAACGTTGAAATTCAAGTACTTGAACTTATCCAATACTCTTTCAATATAATGAGATTGGGATAATGCTAGTCCCTGAGGAGTTTTGAAAATCCTGATCCCTAAGATCAAATCAGCAGCTCCTAAGTCCTTCATATCGAACTTGTTGTACAACATGCGCTTAGTAGCATTTATATCGTCAATATATTTACTCATTAATAACATGACATCAACATTCCGACAAACAATGACTTCATGATTCGGAACATTTTTAATGTAGACACACTTATCACATTCGTTAATTTTGAATCCATTTGCCAACATTGTTTGGTCAAATTTAGCATGTCATTGTTTGGGTGCTTGCTTGAGCCTATAAAGCGAATTCACAAGCCTGCACACTTTCTCTCCTTTACCATGAACTACAAACCCTTCAGGTTGTTCCATGGAAATTTCTTCCTCCAAATCTTCATTTAAGAAGGCTGTCTTTACATCCATTTGGTGGAGTTTAAGATCATGCACTGCCGCTAGTGCTATTAACATCCTGATTGATGTTATCATTGTTACTGGAGAGTATGTATCAAAGTAATCTAGACCTTCCTTTTGTATGTATCCTTTGACTACAAGTCTAGCCTTATACTTGTCAATAGTCCCACCGGCTTTCATTTTCCTTTTAAAGATCCACTTTGATCGAACCTCTACCTTGGCTAGACACCCCACACTTTGAAATATTTCAAGTTGGATTTCCTTCATTTTCATAACTCATATGGAATCGATTGTGTTTTGCTACGGGGTACCCTATTGAGTATCTTGTTAGCCATAAGAATGGCTTCCCCCCACAGGTTTCGCGGTGAACCAGAACTGATTATCAAGGCATTCATCATTTCCTTTAATGTTCTGTTCTTACATTCCGCCAAACCATTTGACTGTGGCGTATATGGTGCAGTAGTTTGATGAATAATACCATATTTCAAACATATCTCTGCAAAAAAGAGATTCGTATTCTCCACCCCTATCACTCCGAATCATTTTTATCTTTAGATTCAATTGATTTTCCAGTTCATTTTTGTATTGCTTAAATGCATCAATTGCTTCATCATTACTATTAAGAAAATATACATAACAGAATCGAGTGCAATAGTCAATAAAAGTTATAAAATACTTTTTTCCACCACGAGATG